TGCCATTCAAGGTCCATGCTATGCTATTTTGTAAAATAAAAATGGTATGCCATGTCATGACGCGAACGGTCATCCTTTAATGTCAAGTGGAGTCCTGCTGGAGTAGTATCGCGTGTATAGACAGAAGGTGGTGAACTGGAACTATTAAATTTCAATTAAGAATCAAACCAATTAAACAGTAGTTAAAAAGGTCTGGAAAAATGGTACATTGTTCACGTGGGTAATTTCAATTCTCACCAGTCCCACTTCAAACAGTAATAAACGACACAGAGAAAATGTCGTTTAATTTTTTTCTCTCACGAGAGCTCATCAATTGTCTGAATCAATTTAACTCGCCAGTTGGAGCAATTCGGGCCGATTTCGCCTAAAGTACAATCATAGTAATAAAAGTGACATAACAAGTTAACCCCCTGGTTATTCAGTTTGATCTTTATGGTTGTACTAAAGGGTTAACCAGATGGCTCAAATGTTTTATGACGCACACACAGTCAAAATTAAAATTAAAAAATGTATATATTAAAGAAGTCAAATTTATTTGTTTGTTTTTTTATATCAAAAATATATTTAACGAAATCGGATTGAGTGATATATTATATCTTCTTTAAGTGGCATTTAGTAATTGAACAGTAACACACTAACACTATTTATGGAATAACAATTACTGGTTTATTAACATGCAACGTTTCGACGATGATACTCTCGTCTTTATCAAGCAAATGATGTCGAAACGTTGCATGTTAATAAACCAGTGATTGTTATTCCATAAATAGTGTTAGTGTAATATATTATATAACCGAATTCCACATACTGTTAAATTATGGTTAAAGTATCAATATAATGAATTGTGGAGAAGTGAAATCAGTAACTCGTCGAGGGGTGTTTATTATTGTCTATTTTAAAACAATTTCAATTTTGAACAATATTTGTCAATTTTACCGAAATATCTTATTAAACATCTAACTAAACTTTGAATAACAACAACACGCGAAACCTGTAGATGGATTCAAGTTCCAAAAGAAGACCGTATTTGTCGTCCATGAGAAAGTGACTTGGATAATGAATTTCATTAAAAATGAACTGACTTCTTGAAGTAATGCTCGAGCATATGCAAAACGGACCCAATTAGTTTTGTCTTTTATATTGAAAGATTATGTCAAAATTTGCCGTAACAGAAATAAGTAAAGGAAGACAAGGTTAAACAAAAAATTTAAACATCAAATAAAATAGACAAATTTAACATAACACATATTTGGAAAGGTAATGGTGTATCACAAACCTTTGAAAAACTACCTGAATATAGACCAAAAATAAAATATGTAATAAATTTTGTAGATACGTTTACACTGGATTTTAGATAATTTTGTATGAAGATATGGTTACACCCTTCATAAAACGCATGTACGGTTTATGTAAATCAAATCACAAACGTGTGATAAAATAACCCGGTGTAAGTGCCCTAGAATTTCTGATATGTCATCCTTAATAATGATTATTTTACACTATGAAATGAACGATAGAAAGTATACAGTGTGAATAAAGAGTGTGATTTCATTAAGTTGTTCAACCATTAAATTACTAGTAAATCTTTGAATGAAGTGAACCATTTGGTGTGGTATCCTGGAGACATAATTCAGTCTATGTGATAATCTATTCTACGAATTATGATCATCCGATCTTTTACATATTATACATGCAATCCAGAGCTTTTTAAACGTTATTTGATATTTGTACCAATGAAAGAAGGCGCTGGGTATTTATAGAGAGACATCCAATGGTTAGTCGGAGCCATAGTCTTTGGAGAACTATTTCAGCAAGCTTCAAGGTCGTCGGTGAAATTGTGGGCGGGGTACAAATTGTTGCATAGTTTAATCTCTGGAGGTTTTTTTGGGATACACGTAGGTGGGAAGTGCATGGAATGAAATGATTGTCAGGTTACAGTTCATCAAATAAACTTTCTATTGATTATCCACAAATACTTTCTTTCGGGATCCTTTGATGAATTCTAGCTATTTCAGCAGTACGTTTAAGTTTGGCTAAACATTTGTTTTTTGTCCATGTGGGAGGACATTTTTATCAACTTTCGCGGCACGTAAATTTATCCCTCACAAGCACATGTTCAAAAACTATTGGCATACTTGGGGAAACTTAAACTGTTGTACAATATCGTGCACACAAGAGCAATGACCAATTGACAATGGAACGTCTGGAGTGTCTTGATGTCTTTGAAGTGAAACATTTTGTTTCTTGAGAGTTTAAATATTCTGTACAATAAAAAAACAATGTGGTCCTTTATAAGATTTACAGGGATTGGCTTTATATTAACATGTCAAGTTGTCTATGGTTTTATTACAACAACTTTCTAATGGTTCGGGATAACTAACGTATTTTGTTTTACATACAGGAAAATATTGGATTGCGGAATATGTATATAGATAGTTGCTTTCGGAATAATAAGGAACATTTTAAGCCAGGTGTAGTATTTTCAGAATTCTTTTCTGGTCTATTTTTTGATGATAAATTTTGTAAATTTTTGTACGAAGCAAGCGAAGATTTTGGTGTATAACCAATATGTCAATCATTAATATACAAATCTACAGCATGTGATGTAAAAATATCAAAGCAAAGTAAATATGAATAAACTCTTTTATCATATTGCAATGGATTCTAGAGATTTGGAGGAAATCTATTAGAGTAGAGTAACCCAATAGTCATACAGTAAACACACTTGGATTGGCACTATGCATAACGCTTTTCATAATAATGCGAGAGATGTAATGGTCTAACTTGGTATATATTTCTAAAACTTTCAATTGTTGGAGATTTGAGATTTCGCGTATTGAATAAAATACCAAGGGGAGGCAAACATCGTATAAAGCATTAGAAATGGTCATGGTCCTCTATACCGGTGGTCCATTGCATTTCATGAGAAATGTCAATATTTAACACCAGGGCCATGTTACTTTATCTTATTCCAAAACTATGATATTTTGTCACAAGCTATGTTTACTGAAATAAACAAGCGAGGTCAGAGATATGGTTATCTCGCGCGCTTCAATCTTTGAATCCATTCTTATGTAACAAAATGTATATTTTGTGTATAACTGCATTGTAGGTATGTAGAGTGATACTAAGGTGGGCACGATACAATGTAAATAGATTTACAATGCACTTACTTACAGAGAGGTAAGATCGGATGTTAGTACATATAAACATAGACCTATAATGACTGCTTCTGTGGGCTTTGTATATACGTGTGGCCGTATGCTATATAAAGCATTAAAAGATAATGTGCGAACCGTTATTATAGTATTAATCTCTTATAAACTTTGTAAAAATAGCTTTGGTTTTTACATACTGAATTCTAATTACGGAAATTAAGCTTAACGTCTTGTGAACACATCCTGTGGTTTTGAAACTAACTAATGGTAATGCGGATATAATTCTGCCACAACTGGAATTAAATTCCAATTGGCTCTTAGTCTAAAGTAGATTGTGTAAAGCGAACTTATAATTCGACAAATTCCCTAAATTTAATAGCTATTGCAATTTCTAATTCTTGCGAAACATAAGAAAGATACATTCTTTGAAAATACCTTTAATTCCGGAAACAGAATGGTGAGTTTCAGTTTGTATATGGAATACACGTTGATATGCTTTCACTATATATTAATATAAACTGCTGTGGACAAACATTGATTGTTGTTGGCACTATCAATGTGTATAATTTATGATGATCTATTTCAGGCACTTTCGCGCGGCCGTTGTGAAAAATAGCGACTTCGACATTCATACAGTATGCCGGTTACATGTGTCTAGAAACAACCATAATACAAAATCTTTGTCTGACATAGTATAGTTTTTTAGAAGCAAACATTGTCGTGAACGTACATCTAAGACTAAGACAGATATTTTGATTTGAAGGCTCCTTAGACATGCGTACACATCATTAATGAAATTCCATCTAGAAAAGGGGTCGCGTGATGCGAAAGACGACGTTTCGGTATTTGGATAGCGAAGTGTTAAAAATATAGCGATGTCGGCTTTCTTCTCCATAATTATTTAACCCTAAAAAAGGCGACGCGAGGGCGACGTCGTTCTTTTCGTTGAGCATCACTTTTTAAAATGGCAAAGCGCGAAGTGGCTGAAATAGAACACCATAGTAATTAGTAGAGTCTGTTCTTTAGTTTATCACTCGCTGTACAGAATGGTATGGTGGTTATTTCATTTATGTTGTACTCTGTCAGACCCAATATACTAAGATGGGAGATTAAAACAGCAAATGAGGGCCACGTTGTTCTGCCTTTGAATAAAATCTCAGTACACGTATTTCTGTTTAGATCACTATGTTCTAGTCAAGATTACCATATACAGAAAATTCCCGATTATTTTGGAAATAAGAGCTCAGGACCCTAAACGTTTTGGGTAGAACGTTTTATTTGCTTCAACTCAAATTGTACTCTGATTTAGCCCCTATAGCGTCCACAGGCAATCCCGAAAGGACAAACGTGCGGACAGACGGGGGTGGCAACAATCTACAAACAAATTTTAGTATGGGAGTGTGACTATGAAATGGGGTTTATGACCCTGAACATTATTTTACGGCGTAGGATATGCCTATCAATGTATTGTTATTGTAGCTTAGCACATCTATTATTCACATATATTATATTCGTAATAATATTAACATGTTCAACGATAGCCTAATAAGTACTCTCTGTCTACAAGTTTTAGATCTCCGCAAATATATACATTTTATAATTGATGGACAAATCAATTGATTTACATATCCAATACAGACAAATCATTGTTCCTAATGATACGTTTACATAATAAACCCCTGGGCTTTTTAACATGGGGGTAAATCAATCACGCATGAATGATTATGAATGACAACTTATTTGGATAAGCATGCAAGTGTATGTTCCATGTCATCAACATTATTACAATATATCATATGTGAAATGTGTATGTGCTTTATTTGTAAATTTAACGAAGCTTACCTCGTGGGTATCCAGGGGGTCGGGTAGATATTTCTGTAAGTGGGGACGGTTGCATTCGCAGTTCTCCCTGTGCTGGCTGCATAACCTCAATACGATGGACAGCCTCGGTGAGGTTATTGACCACACCGTCCATTTTATGCAAAAGGGAAGTCAGTGCCGAAACATCATGTTTCTGTGTTAAGAACTGGTCTTTGATTGTGCGGATTGTTGTGTTCAACCTAGAAAGCACATCCTTTGATTCCTTGACATCGGCGGATAATTTTATAAATCTCCGATCCGCCGCCGAGGTCAATCTTTCGGAACCCGTTGGCATTCCAGGCAAAGCTGAGACGAAATATTTCTCTTCGAACCTTTTCAATTTCTGATCCACTATGGCATTGACCTCCGTCATGTATTTCTTAAGACACTTGCATCCTCTTCGTTTCTTTTTCGGAGGATTTTCATCTTGGGCAAACACCAGAGCAATACATAAAGTTAGCAAAAACACTCCACGAAATAATCCAAATGACTTCATTTTATCAAACTGATATTATCACAAATTCAATATCAATCAAATGATTTCAACAAATAAAGTAACTCCAACTTTACACGATTTGTTTCCTTTTAACAGACTTCAATAACGAGCTGAAAGGACCGTACCCCTATGTCCATACGTAGATCTACAGGTTTTCAATAAATAAACACTTGTTATAAATTAAAGTAATTCCAAGTCAGTTCGAATGATAATGCTTCGATTATTAGCAATTCACAACTTAGCATTCGGTCGATCAAATTTTAACTGACTTAAAGCCACAGACTTGGAAGAAGAGAGCGAGAGAGCTCGAACACGCGTGTACACCACAGCGGCTATGAACGCTATACTGACTGGCTCTGTATATGTTTACTCAATCAAACTCGCGTTACACTCATCCTCTTTGGCGATTCGCGGTGGGCGCAAGTGTTAGACATAGCCGGTGTTATCAAATTATCAGCTTGTGAACCCCAGGTTACGGTTCATTGAACAATCTGTTCATTTGGACTGTACCTTTGATAATTATTTTCCGTCTTAATGTATGGGACTGATTGAGTTTGATAGTTGTACATGAAATCAGACATCACCTCATTCTGTCTCGGACATTCATGAATCCTGCAATAACCGAAATGCCACAGATCGTCGGTAGGAAATGCCTTGTGACCCTGTCACTAATGGCACAAAAAGTCAGATCATTCACATATATCTCAAATGTCAAAAATATGTAGGCCTACTAATTTAATGCAATATTAGTCTTATTGTGAAATTAAGCACGGTGTCTTCGTGAATATAATGGGCCGTGGCGTGATTTCAATAAAAACTAATGTGTGAAATGATCACAAGTTCGAATTGATTACCTTTAAAGTAGCTTTAATTCAGTATCATCCACAGTCTTCGACATTGCAAACACAACTTATTGGTCAATTTAAAACAACATTGATGTTGTTATCGTACCGTGAAAAGATGGGCGTCTGGTAACCAATATTTAAGACACAGTGAAAATGTAAAAGTTGCAATTTCATATTTTTAAGTTATAGTTTTAAAATTTATTGAAATAAAGCCTTAAAATAGATGGTATCTTTAAACAGTCCTACCTTGTTAAAGAATAATCCTATTAATCCTATAATTCACTATTGCCTGTAGAGAAATTGGCAAAAATATCATTTTCAACTTCAAATTCATACGTTTGAAGATAGCTATTCCATGGGGGGGGGGGGGGTAGAAAACAAGGGAGGTAATTGTGTTATTCTTTCCGGGGTCAAAGGATTTATAAGTGGGAGAATAATACCTATGATCGTATAATAGTGAGTTGACAACCTATTGAGCAAAAGACATACAAATAATTATGTTTGTCTTTCTTAGAAAATATGAAATATTTGAGAAATTGTAAGTGGTGTAGTTGTGTCCCATGGTCTACTTTAGATATATTATTTTGACCAAAAGAATGGATCTTGATATCCAGGAACATAAATAATTTACATAAAAATATTGCTTCAAAAACGCTTCATTTTTCCACGTTTAGATTTTCCAAATACTCAATATTTGTGAATAATTTTGTTTGTCTAATGCATGTAGGGGTGAGAGGGTACGCTCATGTACATAGTAATTCACCTTACTGTTTTTATTTAACATTTACATATTTCAATTTTCACATATTGAAACATTCCTGAAAACATCTCGTTTGTTGTCGTGTTAGCACATATTTTAACAATTGTCATACGAAGTTGTGATGGTTCACAAATCTTTTTATATTTATTGAGCGCAGGGAAAATAATCTATATAAAACCACAGACGTAGGTAGTCGCAACGCAGTGTAAATTGTTGAACAAATTTATTGGCAAGGCGAATCGAAGTCACGTGTCCTTTGTCATTTATTGGTGTATGTGAACTCGTGATTTCAAATATGTACACGTGTATCTAATTTTCAAGGAGAGTTGGCACCATAAACATCGATATATAATATCAGTATTATACAAACAAACCTGGTATTTGCAAGGCTATTTTTTGCACGTTAAATAATAAGTCTATAAACGCCAGCTATTTAATGAAATATATTGCCTGGGCAGGTAGCAAATATAACAATTTACTGGTGAAATTATTTAGTAAATAATATTTTAGAAATGAGATGCTAACATTGATATACCTTGCATTTAAATTTGATATAGGTGGGGTGAAGCCGATACAATGGCCACTGGCCAGAGGGTGAACGTATAACAATAATTCGTCCAAAAACTCGGTATATTGCGTGAAACCGCTATGTTGAACAAATCTTTGATGGGTTGCAATCTAATATCGTTTTATCGAATTTGAACCTGTAACAATCGCCCCTTCGAGAATTTAAAAGTAAAAGCAAAACGTGTTCTGCGAGAAAGCTCCTAAATATGTGAGTTGAAATGGATAATAATTTTCTAATTTTTGTCAATTGATGACACGATTAAGAGATGGACATAAGGTAAATCTACAGATCATGGTTGATGGGATTGCAACCGACAGTCTTGAGTCTATTGTTAATGAAAGTGACATCATTAGCAAATAATTTAAAAGAAGCCGATTAGTAAATGAATCCAGTTCTTAGTCTATTAATTGAACAGTTACATAATTATAAGTGTAGTCTATTATTTGGAGACACGCATTACGAATTTCATAGTAGTAATTAAAAGAACAAGTATAACGTATGCCCAGCATGCACCCATTCTGGTTGTCATGGTGGTCAACCGTCATTATACAATATGGCTACTGACAACCGTATTTTCTATTTAAACCAGTGGGAATTTTGTTTACAAATTGCAACATGTAATGATTTTTCCCAGAGTAGAAAAATAACGTCTGATTATTTCTCTTTGTACAAAACATATATCTCTCCTTAGGGGTCTTTGCTTTGAAGCTGCCGCTCATGTCGTGAATTACACCCTTATCCTGGTGTGCGTTTGATTAGATTGGACAAACAAAAGCCATATAACAAGATAACCGATGTAAATGTCTGATTCGCGTATCCAGTGTCTTGCAATAATAGTCTATTGGTTGCTTAAATAGAGTCTGGATGAACAAACTAAACACGCTTGACCACCGACATGGTCGTAAAATAATATAAATGGGCCCTTCCTACATGAAGATCTGATTAAGAGATTAGGAACGATGAAGGAGTTGTAAATCCCACAACACAGCATAAATCCAATGTACTCTGACTGCTTTTATTAACATAAGTAGTCTTAAATAAAGGATATACAGCCACAATAACTATTCATTTATATTAATTGAATGTTTACCATGTTGGATGTTGTATAAATTGGTACTCATACTTATCATAGCTGTAATATATAAATTAGATTGTATGCAATATTTAAGACAAACCTTCCAAACCATTTTTGAGATAAAATAATTACCTCACAAAATACTATTTTGGATAATATTTCTTGATAATCTTTATTTCTTGATAACTTGATGTGAGTGATAATGTCTCGCCTCTTTGTCTATTGTAGTATGGTCAAATAAAATGAAATGCAATGGGATTTAACATTTGACCGGACAATTCCATAATTATGGTTAAATAATTTAATGTTATTTTAATGAGGTTTCATATGTGTTTTATCATTCAGAATTATGACTACATGTACAGAAATCTATATTTTCTGTTTTTATCCAGTCAAAATCTTCAAAGTGCCACTGATCGTTGACTAAATAAAAGTCTGAAATAATTTATAATGGGTTCTGGTTTGTAGAAATTTGTTACATCCGGTACACAAACAACAATCCTAGTTGCACTATATTTCTTTTAAATGAAACACACTTTATAAATACATTATGATGTTATCAGGGTTAGACATTATCACGTTCATCACTAATTTATGTTATAATCTCAGTCAACATCTCAGTTTCAGGCGGAATTTCTCGAAATATGTAGGGGGGGGGGATGGCTGAATGGTTAGCGTGCGCGCGCTGTATCATAAAGTCTGTCATTGAGTCGACTGGCGGGGTTTCGAATCCCCGGTTGTACGTGGCAAGGAGTAGGGTCGCCTGTCCAACCTCGTGGGTTTTCTCCGGGTCCTCCGGTTTCCTCCCACTGCTAAAGCCCCATACGCGCAAGCGAATTATGTAAATAAAATTAAACCATATGTTAGTCCCGAAATGACCTAGTTTGTGTCGAGTAGACGTTAAACCCAATTTCTCTCTCTCTCTCTCTCTCTCTCTCTCTCTCTCGAAATATGTATAATCATCGCCCCTTTCCGTCGTCCACAATTTTATGTGAACACAATACTCTAATAGTCTACGCTGATGTTTTCAATTTTTAACATATTGTTGACATTAATAGGACAACGAATCCTATTCAGATTTGGCGATTTCCGATTTCGGATAATAACTTCCAGGGATATGGCCCTTGTTCCTTTCGCAAAATCTTGTAGACGCTTTAAGGAGACAAAGCCATCATTCTAACAGCTTGAAATTTATATGCATTGTTTAAATTAGTGACACAAAGATGCCTATTGAATTTCAACAATTTCTGGTAATTCCTTCTTAAAAGCTGTTGAACGCTCCAACGACATCTAAACTGCTTGATGTATATTGGGACTTGTTCTCATAGTAAAATCATTATGGACAATCTAGCGAAAGCGATTATAACCCAACCCGCTTGCAATTTCTATTCAGATACGTGAAATGAAGATGTTTGTCAAATTCAACAATTACCAGTAATTAATTCTAGAATCATGTCCCGTGCTTTAATCGCAAAGGTCATCATAATTACATCAATTTCTGATAACTACTTATAGGGTTATTGTTGTTAATGTAATTATGTCTCTTAACTAATATTGGAGAAATGTATTGCTTCTCAGATAAAGGCCCATCTAGGTGATAACTGTTTGTATGAACTATTTCAAAGTGCTTATAAACAATTTCCCAGAACTGAAACAGCTTTAACCCGGGCTTCAAATGGCATTTTAATGTACATTTTTAATTTTATTAGATTTATCTGCTGCTTCCGACATGGTGGATCCTTCTATTCTTTTACGTAGACTTCTTTTTAAATTCGGTATTTGTGGCTCTTCATTAACATTAAATCTTTTAGAAAGCTATCTTGTGGGTAGAAAACATTGTGTTTTAGTTAATTGTAAATCGTTGTCGGAATTTGTTTTGTCATCTGGGGTTCCTCAAGGTTCTGTTCTTGGTCCGATTTCATTTACCCTTTATACGTTACCATTAGGTGATATTGTCAGGAAATATGGTCTCAGCTTTCATTTGTATGCCGATGATACTTAATTATATATTTCATTTACACCTAATGGTCAATATTCTTTCAATTTATCAAAATTACAATTTGAGAACAGTGAAATTAGAAAATGGATGTCAAAGAACATTCTAAAACTG